ATATATACATATATAATATATATATATATATGCGAGAGATATAAAAAAAATGATAAACATTGAACTTTTATTGATATGATTGATGATGCTTAAAATAATTTGTAATGGAGCCATCAAAAGTTGAAGAGCGCGTTTAAGTGTAAAAACATTAGGGATCGATAGAATGCGGTGTTGGGAGAAAATATGAAAAAGAAAACTTAAAAATATAAGAAAAATAATGTAGAAGAAAATGTTACTCTGTATAATACTATAAAGTATAATATAATTGATTATAGTATTGTAGATGTATTTTTGCATTGTACTTCACTTATGTTGAATTCTTATTACTAAAATACCACGTTTTAAATAGAATACCTTACTAATGTATCTATTAATATAACTAATACTGTGTATTTTGAAAAATTTGTCTTTTTAACTTCTTCATCATATATTTTGGCGAAGGAACTTTTTACATTTAATATTCGTCCTATCAATTTTATCTCGTAGAGGTTTTATTTTCAGTCGATTTGAGTTTTCGGGTCAAATATTTTTTTATAGTTAAAAGAACGCGAAGAAAGATAATTAGTCTAATCGTAAGTGTGAATAGTTTTTTTTGTTTTACTGTACTTTTTAACAAACATAACTTAGTTCTAATTTTATTTAATCTATGTTTAAGCATGCACCTCTGTTTGAATGACATTTGGTAGAATAGAAAACATTCTCTTTTTTACATGGACATGTTTTTATTGCACATTTGTCTCGACAATTACAAGTACGTCCTGTTGTTGAACCACAGGAATAAAGTTTTGAAGCTTCGATATTGGCAATAGGCTTAAGATTGTCAATATTAACAAGTTTCAAATCATTAGGACAAGCATCCTTCAGATTCATTAATTCTCCAGCTTCAAAGATGTTGTTTAAAGACCTATATTGACAAATCAATTTAAATAACAATATATTATTTCTTTCATATTTTTTTAACAATGATACATGGCAAATATTTTGGATCTGTATTTGTTTCATCAACAGAATGAATTTCAATGTCAACACAATCATTCAATTCAAATTTGTCTCCCATAAGCTTTAGATTATCTTAATGTAATTTTATTTTCTTATTTGCAGTTGCCAGGTAATGATCTGTAGCAACTGTACAAATTGCAAAATGTTTTGTTGGTGTTGTTGTTATACCTGTTGTTGATTTAATTCTTGATGGTGTACTAATTAATGAATGAGAACAAGCATCAACAGATAATTCACTAACTAGATCAATTAGGTCATCAATTTCATTACCATATACTGACTTCCACAAATCAGATTCACTAAGTGGTGTTTGTTCAAAAACTAATGCATAAGGAGTGGTCTTAGTTACAGTAGATTGCTTGGTATTGATTCCATATATAACAGATAATAAAGTAGAAGACCAACTAGAAGAATCATTAGTATCCATCCATTTACCGAGAGTATCACATAAAATTTCGTTTGCTCTTTCGATGCAACCTTGGTTTTGTGGATATCTCGGCCTACCACAAATGAACAGGTGTGGGTGTCTATCATCTTATATCCTACCCAGCCTCAAAATACGCTTTATTTATATCAGTTCTTTTTCTTTTACTTTGTTCAGTTTACCTATGATACTCTATAAATAATTGACCAGCGGTCCATTTAGTGGCGTAACCAGAAATAAGTTGTAGTGAGGGGGGGCTTATCACCATATGCTTGATCTCTAGAGGGGACTCCAGTCGTTTTTAATCAGAGTTTAAATATTCGTAGAGAGTGCTCGAACCCAACAAAGGAGAGGGGGGGGGGGCTGAGCCCTCTTGCCCCCGTCTGGTTACGCGCCAATCTGAAAAAAATATAAGTTCACTGTTACTACTTGGCGAGCAAATTCTATAAAAAAAATGAGAGAAAAATACTTATAAATAACTGAATGCTTCTTAGATTTTCTGCAAGTACCTTTGAAACTTCATAAGTATGAGAATTTGTTATTGTTTTTTTTTCTTAATATCAATTTATATTGAGAAAAAAAGACATTTTTGATGTAAAAAATTATATTGGTCAATTATCCATATCTTTTCATCTGGAAATGACATTTATTGATTAACTTTTTGAACTTTATTAATTTTGTTAGATTTTTGTTCTACCCTATGTACATTTGTTTCTTTTTTATTTACATGACTCATTTGATGTGATGTCCATGGCGGTTGGCGATATTGTTCGCGTTGAAGTTGTGCTCGTTTACACACAAGTTTCATCAATTAAGTTAGCGGTTTAGTAGACATTTTTTTATTTCGGATACAAAAATGTGAAAGTTTATTAGAATTAACGATAGATTTGTTTAATATCTGGAAGTAAATAATAAAAGATAATTTTTTTCTATTGAAAAGTATTGTTTTTTGGAATAACGAAAAAAGTCAATATGGAATCGATTTTATTAGCAGTTTGCGTCTTATCATGTACTAAATTTGAAGAAAATGAAATTATCTTCAACACGTTAACTCAAGCTCGCATCATTATATTCGATTTTATTTCAGTTATTGATCTTTAAAATAATCTATAATAATTTTTTTCTATAGAAGTTCTCTTTTAATGATCGATATCGATTTATTTTGCTTGCTTTGTTTACAAACATGAAGTCACAACAGAGCAGTTGACTTCATGTTACTCCAATGACTCCAAATAATCCCAACTGGCTTCGAATTCGTGAAATCATGGAGTCAGCTATCTCAGCCATGATAATTATGTCTAGTAAAATGACTATTTGTGTTATAGTTACGTAGTCATATGTATTCTGTTTAGGATATGTATACATAAGTGATTTTAGATTCCTAGATTATATTCTTGCAGTGTAGACACTAATCAAAATAATTGATTGAAACTTCTCTCATCAGAAGCTGCTGATACAGACTTGCTCTATGTTCTTATGTCCCTTCTCTTTGATCTATCTTTCTCTACCTTTCCGTGGTTAGCGTTTTCCCGATAAAATCGAACCTTAATTCTTCATAGAAAAAACAAGCAAAGAGTGTATGTGTGCTTCAAACGGAAGAAAAACGACTACACTTACAATGTGGCCAGTATTTTAACCAATTGACATAAAATGTTTGCATTATAGAATGAAGAAATAAATTTATTACGTGAAGAAAGACAAATACAAGTAATACAATATAATACAACATTCAACTA